AACCCTAAAGAACTGTTGCTTAGTACCTTAGAAGACTACAGTTATGGGGTATTGGGAAGTCATTTACAAGGAGAAGTTATATGAAGCAGTAAGATTTAAGGAGGTTATGTAAGAATAGAGCACAGTATACGATGGCACAGGTGTAAACCTTGCAAAATTACAGCTAGACAGGAGAGTTTGACAAATGGCACAAGGGCTAAGGTGAGCTCTCTGTAGATACCAACAAGATAGCTATCACAGTAGCCAAGAAAGCAGTGTCTTGAGCAGAATAAACAGGAATTTCAGTGCTACCAAGAGGGTAAGAAAGTGGAAGTCTGAAGAAATCTCATTGGAATTGAGCAACACAGCAAAAAACAGACTCATGAGAAACAATCACCAAATCTCAGGGTGCTGTTCTCAGGGATACCTGATGTACATAGTCAACAACGGCAAGCTGTAGCACTGAAATTTTAGGCTTGTATCCAACCAGAAGCCGAAGTATATTTTTAAAATAGTGAATCCTTTTATTATTATGGCCCTTTGCAATTTTTCAAGTGTCTTTATAACCTACATTGTCACATTTGATAGTAACAGTCCGTCTCACAGATTGCAGGCATACTGTTTTTCCTTCAGGAGGAATGAAACTGCGGTCCACAAAGTTTTAGTGACGTGACAAATGTCACCCAGTAAGATCTGCACAAAGGGCAAAATCCCAGATGTCTTGATTTTAACTTCAGTCACGAAGGCTGGAGAGAGCTGCCCTGGGCTGCCTGCCTTACAACAGAGAGAAATCTTTTTAAAAGAAAAATAAAGCAATGCCATTCAAGCTCTTACCTGAGGCTTTTCTGGCTTAGAAAACTGAGCTCCAGTGCATAGGAGGTCACTTTATGGATTCTAGAAAGACTGTCTGCTCCAAATAAAGTGATTTCGAAGAGACCATTGTCATGTGCCATTCCTTTCCCAGGGGCCATCCTACTTTGTGGGTAGCTGCTTGACATGCCACACAGCCAGATTTCTTTTAAAGTCTAGTCCTCAATTCTCAATGTTATTTTAAATAGTGGCAAGAATAAACCTGAGGGTAAACAAAGGGTAGGATATGGAAGGGGGCTGTCTTATAGAGAGAAATACTCAGAAGTGTTGTAGCTATCATTTTCCTCAAATGAAAGAGACAATAAACTGTGTATTTTGTTTATTATATCCAAATGTTGAATAGAAATATATTTCCTTTTTCACCAACTCCTTCTTCAATCCTGGTTCTCTCTGCTTTTCATCCTCTGTCTCTTTTTTTTCTGTCTTTGTCTCTCTTTGTTTGTCTCTCTCTCCCCATGTGTGTGTGTGTGTTTGTGTGTGTGTGTGTGTGTGTGTGTGTGTGTGTATAATGTTGTGGATAAGAAGGAAGAGGAGAAACAAACAAGAAAAATTTCTTTCTAGTGGTAAATGCTACCTGATAACACAGGATGACTATGGAAGTCCTGTGCACTTATCAACAGAAATGATGGAGGCAAAACTAGAGAGGTTGATTTATCACCTACACTAAACACAGACAACCAAGGCTGTTCTTTCCCAGTCAGGTAGTCAGAGTAGTGAACTGAGGTCATGAGAAAGAATTCCAAGAAGTCTGCAAAGCCCTGAGCTATGCAGCAAAATCATCAGGCAAAACTGGAGGTTGTTCTAGTAGAGATTAGAGTTAGAGAAAATGATAGAAACCCATGAGAACATAACCTGGACATCAACTCTGTGAAAGACACTTGAGAATAAGAAAACACAATTCCTTGAACATTCAGTAAATACACATGAAGTTATTACTTAAAATGCCAAAAACCCATGTTGAATATTATATGCTATAAACATAACTTCATTTATTCCTCATAAACCTAAAGAAAGGGCTATTATGATTCTTTCTCAGCAGATGTGAAAACTGACGCTGACATTTGTCAAACACTTGGTGAATGATTGAATCAGGTTCCTGGCTGCAAAGACTGGTCTCCTTTCCTCCACTGAGAAAGTATGTGTCACTACAGAGCAACCAAGATGCAGATCTCAGAATCCTACAGCAGTCTGGAAAGACTTGAGCTATCAACAAACACTTAGAATTCAGAGTCATGAGAATAATTAACTAGTGACTAAGGAAATTTTTCCTTAGCTGTCAGGTTCCTTAGCTGCTCATTTTCAATCAGATCCATTTCTGAATGTACTCAGTTTGAAGGGCAAGCATGTTGGATAGAAAAAAAAAAGTGGTGAATCCACCATCCATGAGGTTAAACAGACCCTACTTTAAATTGTGACTCCTCCACTCTGTGTCAGTATACGTCTTTCTGGGTAGCTTTTGATACCAGATCTGCACCTTGTCCAGAAATATTTTCCAGGATATTTGAAAAACAAACACTATTGGAAGGCAGAGATGGCATATCCTTTGGCATAAAGTCATTCAAATTCACCGACCAATATAAAGCACACAACATGTCTGTCCTCAGAGATGAAGTAGATGTGCTTACAACCTATTTTGAATTACGTGTCTCTGATTTCAGGATTTTTCTCCACCGAACCAACCCACTGAGTATGTGTGTATCACCTGACCCTCTTGTATTGCACTGGTAATAAGAGCTTGGGGAACAAACACAAATGATGATGATCTGGCTACAAACACCACTGTGAATGGGCATGCCTGTTCTTCATCTCCTATACACAGGTCTATTGCTTCTATGAATGAGTATGAAACAGCAGCAAGTTAACTGCTTTCAGAGAGCATACAATCTCAAACCCATCACTTTGTTTTCAGTGAGTAATTTTTTTGTAAAAAAATATTATTATTTATTCATGTGTACATGCATTTATTTATATGTGCTTGTGCCTGAGGTTAGGGGCAATCTCTGGAGCTAGAGTTACATGCAGGTTCTCTTCAAGGACAATACATGTCCTTAACCACTGAAACACTTCTCCAGTCCCAGTGTATAATACTTTATTATATAGTTTGTTTTATTTCACGTATATAGGTATATTTGCTGCATGTATCTTATATAGCTAGTACCCACAGAAGTTAAGGAGAGTGTCAGATCCTCTGGAACCGGGGTTGCAGATGGTTATGAGCTACTATGTGGGTGCTGGGAAATGAACCTGGGTCCCCTGGAAGACCAGGACATTCTCTTAACTGTTCCTCATCACCATTCTTGACACTCACTATCTAGGTAATGATCTTTTTAACCTAACTTACTTTTATTTAGCCACCATACAGGATGTAGTTAATTGACTCAATGTCAAAATATAGGATCTGATTCAGAAACTTATTTACAGCTCTTCACTTGGGATAGAGCACGATCAATCACACAACAGCTCATAATTACAAAATAAATGGGCTTGCCTGAAAAGTGCAATCAAAAAATATAAAAATATTAAAAAATATATAAATATATAAAATATAAAAAATCAGCAATTTGGGATATCTCTTATGGCACAGAAATGATTTCTTTTTTTAATTGATTTTATTGAGCTCTACATTTTTCTGTGCTCCCCTCATTGCCTCTCCCCTCATTTCAACCCTCTCCCAAGGTCTCCAAGCTCACAATTTACTTAGGAGATCTTGTCTTTTTCTACTTCTCATGTAAATTATATCTATATAAGTCCCTCTTAGGGTCCTCATTGTTGTCTAGGTTCTCTGGGATTGTGAGTTGTGGACTGGTTTCTTTTGTTTTATGTTTAAAAACCACTTATGAGTGAGTACATGTGATTTTTTTTTGATATCAGAGATAAAGACAGGTTTAAATAAAGTGATGACTCTGGTTGATTTCCACTGACTACACTGAACTTTGTGATTGAAAGTGAATCTAAACTCAATGGAGAAAATAGTTCGACAGAGTAGTGATGTCTGATATGGTTCCTGACTAGAAGAAGAGTAAACTTTCCTCATATTTCCCACTTCAGACAATATGCTGTTTACAGCCTCTTCTATCCATATTGATTCTATACTATACACCTAATTCTTTGAAGGATGACATATAATTCAAATTATTAATCAAGAAGATAGATCATTTTAGTCATTTTGTTTAATTATCTAGGGGAATATTGGCAATTAGTTCATATTGAGTGTATTGTCAGGCTAGTATAGTTCTGTAATGTTGTGGTTTTAATGAGAATGAACCCTATGAACTCAGATGTTTGAATACGTGATCCCTGGTTAGTAAAACTTGTTAGGGAAAATTAAGAGGTGTAGCCTTATTGAAGGAAGCATGTCCCTATGAGTGGACTTTGAGATTAGAAAGGAATCCACTCCCAAGTCCTCCAACACTTACCGCTGGGAATCCTCTATCTGCCTCCAACTTGCAAATCAAGATGTAAGTGCTCACCTCCGTCTGCTGCTAGCCCTCCGCTCCACCATCATGGACTCTAATCCTCTAAAATCATAAGCCACAAATTAAACATTTTCTTCTATAATTTGCCTTGGTCATGGTGTCTTATTAAAGATGGAAGTTTCTATCTTGCCTGATCCCATAGCTGTTCAGTCCCAAAGAAACACACAGAGGCTTGCTTATATTAATTATAAACTATTTGGCCTGCTACCTCAGGCTTATTATTAACTAGCTCTTACAACTTTAATTAACCCATAATTATTATATATGTTTAGACACATGGCTTGGTATCTTTTCTCAGTGCAGCATTTTCATCTTGCGTTCTCTGCATCTGGTTGGCTACTGAAGACCAAGCCTTTCCTCTGCTTAGAATTCTCCTAGTCTGGTATCCCAGCCTATAGTTCCTGCCTGGCTACTGGCCAATCAACATTTTATTAAACCAATACAAGTGATAAATCTTTATAGGATACAAGAGCATTATCCCACAGCATGTAATCATAGCAATAGAAAAGTAACTAAGAAAAAATTCTTACCGTTAGAGATGCTTGGAAACTTGGTTTATGGTTTTGCAGGTACTGATCATCACAAATGTATCCTACTTACAGAGCCTCTTCTATTCGGTATTTTTGAGATTAAAAATTAATTCACAAATGCATATCCTCTATATTTTGAGAACTGAGTATTTATCACCATGTACTTAGAATGAAATCTAGAGAAAAAAGGCAACACAGAGAGAATAATGCTTGTCTTGCAAACATGATCTGATTTCAATTCCAATGTCAAAAAACAAAAATGAACAAAAAGACACCTAGTATGGCTGCACACTGGTGAACCCATCCTTCAGTGGGACAGGGAGCACAAACATATTTCCTTAGGACTTATTGTACAGCCAGTCTAACCTGTTTGGTGAGTTCCATACCAGTGGGAGATTATATTTTTTTTTTAAGTGCATGCTGCCTACAGAATAGTAACTAAAATCCTCAAGGGGCTTTGTACACACACACACACACACACACACACACACACACACACACACACACACACCAGTTTCCTTCAGAAATTAAATGCATTGGTTCTACTTATCCCCAATTTGGTGCTCTATAAATTATATCCTAAAGGGTAGTCGCTCACCTCTGCCTTCATTATGAGCAAGCTTGGAGGTACTTATTTTGTTAGTGCAAATTCACTTAATACAAAATTTAGTGAAATATGCATCCTGAAAGCATCCAGTCCTTCATACCTGATGGTTCCATAGTTATTCCTAAGAGCTGCAGATGTGCCATCAATTTATATGCAAGTTCATTTGTTGTCAGTTTAATTTTTTTAAAAAAATCATAAATTCTTACAAATGAAAATAACTAACTAAATTGTGACAATTCATAGTTACTTTTATTATGATGGATATATATGTATGTTCACTATATATGGTAAATTTAGTATAAAATGAATATGAATAAAATCAATCACAAGAAAGTTCATGAATACAGTATTAATGAGTTGGATATATGGTCAGTACTGTTAATAAAGATAGAAATAAAAATATAAAACATCTACGAATGTGTTTTGCATAGTAAAAGATGTTAATTCTACTTTTTCCCTTCAGGTGCAGAAAATGGTTTACTTGCAGGGAAGCTCTGTGTTCTGTTCTGGCAGAACTGATAAGATCTTGGGAGCAGCAGTGTCAGATCAAGGTAAGTTGTCTTCTGTACTTTACATTCCTTCAGTGTCTTCCAGAGACAGTATGTTGATTCCTCTGCCCCAGATCCACTTACCTACTCTAAGCAGCTTTTCTTAGACTGTTGATCAGTGTGTCTTCTCCTTCCTAGACATGCTGAGACACATGTATTACACTCTAGGCTAACAGGGGATTTAGGTTATGAGGACAGTAAAAGAAATTAATATTCACATAATTCTATAGAAATAGACTTAAACAAATGACTGGTTTTTGAAAGGAAGAACACTGTTGTTACTACTCTTTCCTTTTTTTTTTTTGATTTTCTTTTTTGTGTTTGTTTGTGTGATCTTAACCTATGACCTATTGTTTAACCTTCTGATATGTATGATTTTGTTCAAGTTGCCCACAAGAAAATTCTGTTATACCTAAGAAGCCATGAATTAATATAGGAAAACTACACAGTCTATTCTTCCTTAATTTAGGACTTTGTCTGCTCTCCAGCCTATGCCTTCTCTTTTATTTGAAACTGTGAAACTTGTCTTCATTTTCCGTTGCAAGGTGCAGATCCTGAGACGCCCCCTCCAATCTCAGCAGTCTTCACTTACTTTGTGTGTCTATTTTGTTTGTTGTTTATGGATTGGCACAACAGCAAAAGTGGTAGTCTTCAATCAGTGGTTTGCTGCACGCTACAATATTTACAGACGTTAATGTGACTATTTCCCCATCTGTCTCTGCACTGATCTCTTGCAGAGAGATGATCATGTCACCTGGCAACAAGGGAATAATATTTATAGACTCCATGATTGGTGCAGGAGGTTCTTCTATGCGTTGCTTTCATTGGTTGTTCAGTTAATGATTTTGGTTAGACTGTCATAAATAAGAGAAGCAAACTGTCTAGATGAGTAATTAAATACTGACAATATTTTGCTTCTGGTATGATGATTAATTTTGCCTTGCCTTGGCCCACCTCTTATATATTAGGAGCTCCACCCCATGTAGTGGTGCTTTATTTAAATCATCCCAACCCTTCAAGACCATCTTCCTGTGACACTATCTTGATGCCATGTAGCACATGGTCTACACCTCAGAGACCCCAGGTACCTCCTTAAGACTTGCCCAAAGAAATAAAATCCTTAGAGTTTTTACCAAAAGTTCCTATTTGCTTCTGGACGCTTTTACTTATGAATATAGGAGAGAGGTTGCCCACATTTTTTTTCAGACAGTCAAAACATATTTCCCTGTGGTCAAATCTTTCATAAAACATGCTTAATGGTCTAGTGTCACCCATGGCTTTGTGACCTGGGGTGGCAGTACAGACACCACTCCATAGAACAGTATGTGAAAGAATGCTGCAGAATATTGTTTTAAAATGTGTTACATTTCTTTAGGCTGTGGAACATTTGTTCTAATGATGTAGATGTTCTGCATTCTTTTATGTCATATTTGTTTAACTCTGTGAAGCTGTGTTACTTTCCTGTCTAAAACACCTGATGATCTAATAATTAGCTGAAAGGCCAATAGCAAGACAGGAGAAAGAATATGTAGGACTGGCAGGCAGATAGAATAAGTAGGAAGAGAAATCTGGGAGGAGAAAAAAAGGAGCAAGAGAGATCAAGGAGTGAGAAAAGAAGGGGCAAGCCACCCAGTCAGCCACAGAATAAGAGTGAAAGTAAGAGTACATATGCAAGAAAAGGAAAAAGAAACCCAGAGGCAAATGGTAGATGGGATAATTTAAGAAGAGCTGGCTAGAAATAATCCAAGCTAAGCCCGGACATTTTTAAGAAAGAGTAAGACTCTCTGTGTAATTTATTTGGGAGCTGTGTAGAGGGGCCCCGCAAAGAGGCAAAAGAGTAAAAAGAGCAAAACAACCAACAACATTTTGGTGCCCAACATGGGACTAGAGCAAAAGAAAATCCAGCAGCATTTTGACATACCAACATTCGGCTCAAATGTCCATCTAGAGCTTGAGAAAGCTGAAAAAAAATATTATCCCTTTAAGAAATCCTACTTTGCAGCAGAGTACTTAAACAGCATTTTTCACACTAAATAGAAACAAACAAACAAACTAACTAACTGACTAACTAAAAAATGCCTGCCTCAGTGCAGAACACTGACATTCCATAATTAGTGGTTGAATATGGTTCCAAGTCAAACAAACCTCCAACCAGGCCACAGACTTTAGGCTTGGCTCTCCAATCTAGCAGAGCCAGCAAAGAGAACCATGTGAAGAGTACAGTCTAAATTTGGCTCATAAGGTTAAAAAAGCCTAAAAGACTATATTGGAGCCTGTTCCAACAAAGTCAACTAAGGTACCTAGAAGAGGGCGCAAGGATTGAAGAAATGGCAGATTAAAAGAAATTTAGACAGAAAACGTAGGATAGATGCAGGAGTTCTGTTGGTGAGTACCAAGCAGCCCTGAGTTTATTTATTTGCTAGCATTTATATCTATTAAAGGCAAAAGGCAGATCAAAGAACAGAATAATCAGTTAACCACCTCCTTACGCTGTCCTTGACAGAAAGAAGCAAGTAGCCTCATTACCTATCTTGTGAGTCCTGTTAGCATCAAACAGTTTTTGTTTTAACTAGATGTGCCTTTGGCTGGCATTCAATAGCCTGTATCTTAATAGATAATGTGTTCTCTCTCATGGGCAAAATGCTCAGCCCCATGGGCCTAATCAGAACTTTCTCACAGTTCTCAAGGATACTGGAGCAAACAGTGCAGGCAAATTTGAACTCAAATGACTGTTAAGTCAGAATGGACTCCAGATGGAAGCTGAGTCACATGTGGGCTACCCACTAAATATATGCAGTAAAAGAGGTTCAGACTGAAAAAAAGAAAAAAAAAAACCTGCAAACATGTTCCAGTGTGTTTTACAATGTGTACAGGCTTAAAATGGAAAGAAAATAAGTTTAGATAGTCATGGAAATAAATAAATAGAATAAAAATAATAAAGTCTTTAAAACGACAGTAAAAGAAAAAGCCACATACAGTTGGAAAATACACAGGGAGTCTAGATCCTGTATAGTATTGATTTTGATTTTTTGATTGCTGATAAGCAAACAACTGCTAAGAGACCTGGAATTGAAAGGATTGTTGAAATAAATTAACCTATATACTTTAGGAATGCCTTAACTTTAAACAGAAGTCAAAAAATATATTTGTCAAATGGAAATCAAAAAATGCTTCTGAGGAGAAATTTTGCTTTTGTTTCCACAGGAAATGAGAAGCTGTAGATTCCTTCTAGGTTGATATGGTTTGATCAGGGAACACTTCATGAATCTTGACAGGTGATACAAAGGTTACTGCTGGTCTTCCCAGGACTTGGCGATTATCTCAGTTTTCTCTCAGGAATCCTAAAGATGCCTTTGCCCACAGATTGCATGAAGCAATCTGGAGAATATAACACCCTCATCCCATGAGAAGGTGTGGGTGGTCTTTGGTTATTTGGTGGGTTATTGATTTTTTTTATAATTTAGGGAAATACAGGAATATAGAAGGATAAAAAGACAACTATTAGTCTTAAATATTTTGCATTGGCAAGGATTTTGGTATACTGATAAAAATATAAAGTTAATTTTATATACTTTGTATATGTTTCTACTCTTTTTGGAGTATTGTACTTATGCAGTTCATTTAAAAATTCACTGTATAAATAAAAATGAGTTTATTAATTAATCAATAATAATTAAACTTATGGTCACATTAGGTACATTTTTAAGGCTAAATTGTTATATTTTAGATAATAGATACTTTTCAAACACTTCAAAGACCTATAGAATATGGCACTTAAAATGTTTTATTAACATAGGGTTTTTCCATGACAATGAGACACATCTGCTCCTGGCAGCACCAATTTACTTCATAAAAGGATGATGGGCATCAAAGAAACTCCATAGGAGTTTGCTTTCATTGTGGCAACATTAGTCTTTTGGGCAAGAAGCTGTTTATACCTTGACTGCTTGACTGTATGTTGTATAAACAGGACATGTAAGACACACAGGAAAGTGACTGCTGAACTTTTCCAAAACAAGGTGGGAGAGTCCTTCAAATTTCCTGCTTCATGGAAGAATCTACTGATCTTTTTTTGCAGGACACAGAGGAAAGGGGCTAATAAACGTTGTCAATACAAGACTGAAAAGTCTTTCAAATTTCCTGATTCACTGAAAAGTCTACCATACACTGTGGGCCTGTAGGATGCCTCAATGTTGCAGAGAACTTTGGGTGAATGTCCAGGCAGCAAGATGTCTCTGTCGTTAGGTAATATTATATCCTTCTAGGGGTCTTTGATAGAGTTAAAGACTAGATCGTTACTGTTGTACTTTTTCTTAATAATAATAGAAAGTAAATTAGGTATAAAACTTTGTATTCACTTAGATAATTGACTATTTTCTCCAACTTTGATAAATGTATTGCAAATGTAAGTGAAAAAATGTAAAGGTAACTCCTACTGGGCAAATTGTTCTATTGCATGAAATTTTACTACGTGAAAGTTAAAACCTTTCATTTTTAGTTAGACAAAAGGGGAAATGTTTTAGAATATTATTTTAAAATGTGTTACTTTTTTTAGGCTGTTGAACATTTATTCTAATGATGTAAAGATATGCTGCATTCTTTTACGTTGCATTAACTCTGTGAAGCAGAGTTTTCCTGTCTAAAACACCCGATGATCTACTAAAGAGCTGAAAGGCCAATAGCTAGGGAGGAGAAAGGATATGTGGAACTGCCAGGCAGAGAGAATAAATAGGAAAAGAAATCTTGGAGGAGAGGAGAAGGAGCAAGAGAGATCAAGGAGTGAGAAAAAAGGGGTGAGTCATTCAGACAGCCATGGAGTAAAAGTGAAAGTAAGAATAAATAAGAAAAGAAAAAGTCCCAGAGGCAAAAGATAGGATAATTTAAGAAGAGCTGCTTAGAAATAAGACAATCTAAGCCAGGGCTTTTGTAAGAATACTCTCTGTGTGATTAACTTAGAAACCAAAATGTAAAACGGTGAAAAACAACCAACTACAATGGAGAGGTGGGAAAGATAGAAAACTTGTTGAAATATGAGCGGCGGGGCTGCGTCCCCAACACCCCAGCCGCTTGGCTAGCTTATGCCCGAAATAACAACACACAAACTGTATTCATCTAAGAACTGCTTGGCCCATGAACTCTAGCCCTTACAGGCTAATTCTCGCACCTGGACTAGCCCATTTCTAATGATGTGTGTAAGCACCCCAAGGTGCGCTTACCATAAGATTCTAGCCTATGTTCATTCTGGGTTCGGAGCTGAGAGGAGCTTCATTGCATGCATCTGCCCGGGAGATCGGAGCATGGCGTCTCTGCTCCCGAGCTGTCGGCTCTCTCTGCAAGCAGAGCAGAGTCTGACCTCACTTCCTCTTCCGCCCAGCATCCTATTCTGTTTATTCCACCCACCTATGTTCTAAGCTATGAGGCCAAGCAGTTGGTTTATTATAATTAACTAATTACCTTCCTCCATCAAAACTATGGAGAGAGGTGCAACTGCAGATGTGATGGCCATGACAGCTGAGAGAGTTGGCTGAGATTGTCTTGCTGTCAATGCCAAGTAGGGTGGGCTCCATAGCGTACAAAAGTCTGGAGCTTAAGCAGACACAGACTCAGGCCCTTAACCTACCATGTGACCAAGGGAGCACCCAAGTGCTGAGCAACAACAGAGAGCTGAGATGAGGGAAGTTTCCCTTTAGATGGGACATCCTCAAAGGACCACTGTGGTCCATGATGGCACCAGAAGCCAAGTTAATGCTGGTCATCCATGCTGCTGTGCCAGGCTACAGTAACCTGAGACCTATATGAACATATGCAGTCTGTGCCACTGCCTAATGCCTTGGTGATGTCCTCAAGTTTTGATGCCTCGAGATGTCATACTATTGTGAGTGATGAGTGTAACTACTTGAGGCCATGCCAAGACTCAAGGGCTATACAGTCTCTGAGGACCATGAGTGAGTCAGTGGTCCTGATACAGCCAAGGTCCATATTGATTTCTATGGTCAATGTTACAAAAAAAGCCCATTTGGATCCCCATAGTCTGAACTGCCACCTGAAGCCATATTAACAGTTTGTGCAGGAGAACTGTTTCATTCCCTTATGGGAGAGCTAGCCTTACCCCTCGCTGGCCCACAACACTACGGTATAGACAGTGGCATGGGCAAAGAGCTAGGTCTGGACACAGCAATGGTTTCCTCAGTTGATGACTTCCAGCACAGAGTCAGGCAGAAAAAACTCATCCTCTTTTAGGGGACTAGGAATCTAATCATGCTCTAGTGAATTTGTGGACGACACAAAATGCACCTTTTTTTTTTTAGTCTTGCAGAGAAAGTCACTGGAGAGAGGGGCAGACATGGGAAGACTAGGAGGTGAGCATGATTAGGGTGCTTGATGTAAGATTAGATTCCAAACAATCAAAACCAAAATGAAAAACAGAGCGTGTGCAATGCAGCCCATTAAGATAAATAAAGACATCAAAAGAATTGTGAGGCTATTTCAACTTGGGGGACAAACATGCTTTTGAAAATTAGCTAAAAGTTGATCGTCTTTATTTGACATAAATTAAACTTCCCAGCCACAACTACATACCAGCCAAACTTTCATATATACATGAGCATGTGAGGTGCTCATCTTCCCTAAACACCTCTGTCTTGAGACAATTACTTTCAGAATGTCCTACCTGTCTTTAATGACTTCTGAAATAAAGTAAGCTACAATGGAAATAAGACATGATACAGAAATAAGTATGAAAAGGCAATGGAAAACCGATTACATTTCAAGCTAACTAAAAATATAAATAAACATAAAAATCTTATTGAAAAATCTAGAATATATATATATATATACAAATCTGGGTTTGTCTTGGATTATTTGTTCAGTCTCATTAAGCCTTTTTCTTGTAAGAAAGTGAGAATAATAGTAACACACTACTGATTGGGTGATTAGGAGAGTAAAATAAGTCTACAAAAGTCTGTAGCACAGATCATGCATAAAAATAAATACTGTTATTATATGTGCCACTGTAGTTCTTAAAAGAAAAAAAAACTCTAAACCACCTAGTAATGGACATAGAAACACCATTCCCTCCTCTGCAAACACATTTTCATGCATGATTCTATTATTTTGTACAAACTATTTCAAGTTCACACCAGCTTGCTCTAGGTTATGCAACTACAAAATGTCAATATTAGGATTCAACATCTAAGGTTTCTAAATTCAAATCAATGATTAGACTATCGAATATGACCATTTGGAAAAAATCTTTTTGTTACTTCTGTCTTAGAGATTTTGATAGTGTTAAAGGGACAGAGTTACAATCAGGCACTGGAGCTGGTTACCAAAAAGTCCTACAGTGTGTATGAAGCATAGGATTCCCCCCCCCACACACACACCCAAAAATTGTTATGCATGGGCTTGGAGACCCATTATATAGCAATTGCTACTGTGAAGAGAATAAGTGATGCCCTGTTGGTCCCAGTTCCAGACAAAGCAGCAGTGGGCTCTGCAGATAAACAGGAAAGGAACAAAGCCCGGCTGCCTCAGACCACAGCCAAGACACATATAAAAGTAATAAAAGACCTGAGTTTGGTAGCACATGTCTGTAATCACAAGGGTCAGAAGGGAAGAGAAAGAGGGAGGAAGATATTATATTTGAGGCCAAACCTGAGTTGTATATAACAAGACCCTCTCTCATGGTGTATTGAATTAAATAAAATGTCACACACAGTAGAGTATGACCTTCATCAGTCAAACTGAAGAACAAAACTCATTTTGAACTCCAATACAGTTTCCCTCTTGACGAGTTCCTTTTAAGCCCATCCTTTTTTTTTAAGATAATTTTTGGAGGACTTGATACATGAGTACATTGTATTTACATCATTTATAACTTTCCATCTCCCCCTTCTAAATATTCCTTACCTCCATACTCTTTCAGATTCATAATCTCTTCTATAATTATTATTGTTTATATATATATATGCATAGGTATATGTATGTATAGATGCACACATATTTATATGCATCTTGGTCCTCTGCATTGCAATCTTTTTAAGCCCCACTTCCTCAACATTCATTGAACCTTATGTAAGGATTGTTCATTAGTTGTACTAATTTGGGCTTAGCATATCATGGCCACTTATTCTCTGCAATTTGACTATATTACAGTATATATGTACATGCATCTATATATATACGTGTATATATATGTATATATATATATGACACTGTGAATATCTCCGTGGACAAGGAAAGCAAATATTTGCTCTCAATATACATTAACACATACATATATGCATATATTCTGCTGAGTGCATTTAGTATAGCTCATTGCACATGCATTTAGCAATGACCATTGGGATTGTATAACCTAACAAGGTCTCATTCCCAAATAAGTGGCTACCTCTCAATAACTTGTCTATAATTTTTCAGTTAAACATGAAGCCTTGGGAAATTCTCCCATCACTTTTGCCATGTTGACTGATGTGGTCATTATACAGGTTGCTTATAGGCAACCATATTTTTGAAAATTCATGAGTTCAGAATGCATGTCATCTCTAGAAGACACTATCTTACAGCAAACATCCTGCTTTTCCAATTCTCACAATATTTCTGGCCCCACTACCTTCATGTTCCTTGAGTCTTAGATGTAGGTATTGTTTTATAAATGTACCAGTTGGGTCTTGGAATGTCATGGTCATTTACTCTGCAATTTGATTGGATGAGAGTTTTCGTGCTATCCCCTGACTATTGAAAAAAAGGGGGGGGCTTTTCTGATTAGAGGTGAGAAGTGTGTGACGTGTGCTTATTTGTGGATATAGTGATAAATATTTAGAAGGAAAATGGCAGTAAAAGGTTTTCCTCTAAGATCCGTTACTTCTCCCTTCATAAGTGGATGACTATGTTTACAGCACCAGGCATGAGATTTAGCAAACCTTAAGTTCATTCTTCAACTTTTATAACAACTGAAGTAGTATAAATTTATACGTTCCTATGGTGACAAAACTAAGGCTCAGAAATGCTTCAATTATTGGAACAAATCTTAGGGTTGGGGAGAGTGGAGTTTTCTAGGGGTACAGTGGGCCTCAACTATATTGAGGTCAAATTTTAGAATAGAAATTATCACAGAAGTCACTTAAAGCTAAGCATTCAGAAGAGGAAGAGATTCTCATTCTAGCCTGACAGATTTGAAGGATGACAGGGATGTGAAGACCAAAGCACCACGTACCTTGAGACATGAAATTCTCTTTATATTTCAAAAACAAGAACTTGAGTTAAAACTTGTAGTTATGCATCTGTGAACACAAATCGGGGACTAGGTATTGCATTTAATTACCTGGTTCACAGTTGTCCTTAGGATGATTTCATTAAAACATGAGGTAACTGAGATAAAATACTTGGACATAAAGTCTCTGATAATAATTCGCTAGCATTGTTTTTTTTTTCCATGTCTAGACACAGAGGTCATCTTTAGATGTTTCGTGAAAACTTCCCACACCTCCTGATTTGAAAATCTAATTTGCTTCTTTCCCCCTCCTCTCTTTAATTTGGTCTTGGTAAAATGTGAGGTAACTGCTGATCTTGTCCATGCATATATTATGAACTCGTTGAAGGCATGAGATCAAGCTGCAATTGGCAAAGTCGATTTGCTTATCCAACATTATGGAATATCAACATAATATTAAGAAAAAAGTCATGATATGCAAACTAAAAATTCCTCTTATGGATATTAGGTGGCTTACCTTGTCTACCATTTGATAGGTCATGCATATTGATAGTATATGCATATTGATAGTATAATTGCACAGTGGGTGGGAAGCAGGCAACTGTGAAATGTAAGTTAATGGACAGGGCATTACACCCTCAATTAGGGGTGAGTTTGAGAAGAGATTTTAAAGAGGCTTACTTCCAATCTCATGCATATAATTATTCTCTCCACGAACATGCGTTGTGTGCTTGCTATGTTAACATTATTGAGCCCTGCTGTTTTCAAGATCTGTAGCTCAAATAAACATGGTACTTGATCAATCCATAATTCTTGCTTGAACATCATAAAATTTAATCAAGAATCACTGTGGTTAGAGCCAATGTGTTGCCCAAGATGGTTATCATGCATAATAAAACTTCTCCTACAGCGCAGATATGCCTTTAAAAATGGGATGGAAATAAGAGGAACTATAACATGAGCTTGGAAAATATATTAAGCAAAATTTATAACAGTAAATGTATACAAAACCAGACTGAACACAGAGCAATTTGATATCACTGGGTGATTCTTTAATAAAATATAATCTCACAGCAAATTAAGAA